GGGCTTGGGCCACGGCTCTGCTGGGACTATTTTTAGTAGCTCTCTGGCAAATTTAGGGAGAAGGCAGTTTATCCTCAGATCTTGAAAGGTAACATGTAACTCCTACCACCTCACCAATATATTTTGGATCTTCATACCAAATTTATCTTTCAAGTCTGATAAAGGGTATTATAATAATGTGAAGTTCTATGTAGCTGTGGGTTTTTATTTCTTGTGTACCTACATACCTTGCTGTTGGTTTTTCTGATTATTTTTTTCCCTAGACACAAATTCTATGTCTATGTTGATTCACAGAAATCTGCACTTGTAAATTAACTTCTCTAGCACCATTTCCCCAGGTTTGTGTTTCTAGCGATTTGAATTTTGTCTCCTTTTTACTTGTTTAACCTTTGTGTTGTTACTCAGTAGCTTCTAAATGCCAAAGCAGGCATCTTGTTAACCTCACTAGCTCTGAGGTTGCTTTCCTGACCAAGTCCACCTGCAGCACCTCTTAGCTCATTCCAGGGTAGGTTAAGCCCCAGAGCTACTTCCTATCTTTTACTAGAAATGCTTTTATCTCAGCACTAGCCACCTCTACCAGCAGTCTTCGAGAGACCTATCTGAATAAATTCGCACAGAATAGTTGTGGCTGTACTTCCCCTCTGTCTTCCTTGCTGGAACCCACTGGAGAGGAAGGAACACAGATTTTTATCTGAAGAAGTCATTGTGCTCCCATACCTGGGGCTTCCCCAGCAGGAAGAAGACCTCAGCCCCACTGACAGCAGGGAAAATTGCCACGTTGATTTAAATGTTTCACCAACTGTTAAAAAATGTTTCCAGCAATACAGGACAAATAGTAGGGCCTTTTCAACTTACAGGTACGTCAATATTCTGATCCTGGTCAACTGGTGTATAAATAGGCACCACGCATAAATCCCAGTGGAACATCCTTTGTATTTGAGAAGTTAAAATTATTTTTCCCTCCAAAGAGCTAGAGATTGTTGTTTTAAATTCCTCCTTTTCATGATCCTGGTAACTCTGTAGAAGTGGAGGATTCTATTAAGTTACGGGATCTTTGAAAGGGACACCAATAATCAAGTCAGTGCTCAATGGAAGGAGGTTTTTCCCACAAATCATGATTGATATCTGTGTCATTAGTAGGGTAGCTGCCCATCTCTTATCATGATTGACAGGTTAATAAGGGACCTGGGGCTATCTTTTCACTGCTAGCGCACAACCTAACCAATTGCTTTTAAATGATTGCTAATTTGACAGAATATAAGCAGAAGGCATAAAAATATCTGGAGTAATGTCTAATGCAGCTTTTTGGTCCTGGTATTCCGAGCGATCCCATTTTAGAAAACAGATTGGAATGTAGTTAATAGATTATTTTTTTTTTTTTGGTTTTTTTTAAGACACTCAGTTTTTAAAGAAAATCTTGTAGTTGTTCTTTGGTTCAATTAGGAGCAAAAGAGAAGGGAGTTTTGTAATGCAATTGTCCTGTAAAGGAAAATGTTTTAAATTGGGGAGATTATGTGAGCAGACCACCTGTAGGGCATTCATAGCTCTTTTCTATAATGCTCCAAGCCATGCCTTGCTGCCTGCAGTCTGGCTAACAATGCAGGGAAAAGCTGTTTAAAAGGCTGTTCTCCCTTTTCCCTCTGGTGTTCACTAACTGTTACAAGTCTTCCTCTTAAAATAAAAAAAAAAAAAAAGTCCCAAGTCCCTTTAATTGAAGAACTTTAAGGCTCCATGGTGGCCAATTGGTCTGCAACAAGAGGAACCAGGCAGCAGGGAAAGAAACTTCAGACTATACATCACGTTTGGTGAAGAGAAAAGATCAAAGTTTTCCCAAACTCAAAAGAAACCAAGTTCCCTACAGATTAACCCTATTCATTTAGCTCCTCTTAAAGGAATGATGTTCTGAGCCACTGGGCAGACAGGTAAAAAGTTCAACAATTGCCAAAGCATTCTTCTGTTAATTCAACAGCCTTCTGCTCAAATAAATTAGCTTAGTCCTGACAGAAGAACAATACCTTTTCTCTTGAAAAAGGACCATATTTGATATACAAAAGTTAAGTATGAAAGGTTAAGATGTTAGTTTAATCTGTTAAGGAGAGATTGGTCTAACAAATCTCAACTTGCTGTTCCACTGTAGTACATGATCTATGAATTTAAAACATTAACCTTTTACACTTTGGTATGCATCCCCGGAAAGGCAGGTGCTTACAGAAGTGCAGACAACAGATATGAGGGGTGTGTGTGTGTGTGTGTGTGTGTGTGCACATTCCTAAAATAACACCCATTTTAAAAGGATACTTAACATGCCATGGGGGATGACTCTTTTGTAAAGGCTCAGTTTAAAAACACTGTCATCTTTCAAAAAGCAGCTCCCAGTTTGGGCAAACACTTTTTCAGAACAACTTGTTGAATGACTTGTTTTCCCTATGTCTGTGTATCTTGCTGCTTTAACAGAGGCAGCCATCTATTGCGCAGTGATGACCGGAGCATGAACGCAGTTCGTAGTTTATAGAACCACCTAAAGACATAGCAGCTGGAATAACCAGGGCAGGCGTAGGGGAAAAGCTTGAAAAAGTCATTTATCAAAAGTCATTTTATTGACAAAATAGAATACTCATATTTGCTCTTACAGGGGTAGCCTCTACACTTTTTTACAAAAAAAAATTTACAGACTGTATAGCTTTGGATATATACATATTTTACACATCTGTACAAGGTAACAAATAATTATATAAATACATCCTTTAATGTAGGAAACCCGTATTTAGCTGGGGTGTATAATTAAGACATGTTTTGATTCAGTCTGTACTGTAAGGCATTTGCCTGGTCATCAATATCCCAAAAACCCGCAGTCCCAGCAGACTCCCACCTCAGGACGGGGAGGGGGGGAAAGACCCTCTCCCTCCCATGAGTAAAGAGCTGCTGCTGTTAGTCCAGAGTGAATCAGAAGCTGCTGTGCCTTGCCCTCTGCAAGACACGGGTGAGCCTCTACCCTCCTCTGCCAGCAAAATAATAAGCTGGCTCCTTGAAGTACATGCTCCCTGCATATGAATGGAGGGGAAGGAGGAGGGGGCTGGAGCCTGGGGCCTCTGCCAGCTGCATTGTTCTATACAAGCTGTGGCTAATAAGGACCATTAGGGGTTCATTAATGGCACCAAACAGTGAGGGGGCATTTTAGGCAGGCCAGTGTCCCTCATTCCCTAACCTTTGGCCTCTTTCTCCCCTCCTCACACTTGAGACAGGGGCATCTGCTTGGGGTAGGAGACGGAGCTGGCAGTGCCCGACCTCCACGTCAGGCCGGTGCTGACATCGCTGTAGAGGGAGCCACCGCCTCCAGCCCCGAGTCCTCCAGCTGCGGTGATTGCTGCCTGCCCACCCCCTCCCACCCCTGTGCCCCCAGCCACAGCAGCATCTTTGCTGGCCCAGCAGCAGCGGGTGCAGAGGGCCCTCCAGGACTCGAGGGTCTTGCCGGACCAGACCCAGACACCAGAGGTGATGCCCACCACCAGGCACATGAAGTACTTGAGCATGAAGACGGCGTAGTCGGGGCGGCGGGCCTGGTCAGGCTGCTGGTCACGCAGGCAGGGGCAGTTGTGCGTGGCCTCCCAGCGGGGCCGGTTGTGCTGCTCATAGAAGAGGCAGGCGACCACGCTGGCAGCTGGCACAGTGTAGAGCACGGTGAAGAGGCCAAACCAGCACGAAGCCCCGTAAGTTCTCCAGGCTCTGGTTGCCCACGTAGCAGATGCCAGCCACGGGGTCCCCGTCCACTGAGCTGAGCGCCAGCACGGCAATGGACTTGACGCTGGGGAGCAGCCAGGCTGCCAGGTGGAAATACTGCGCGTAGCCAGCGATGGCCTCGTTGCCCCACTTCATGCCGGCAGCAAGGAACCAGGTGAGGGAGAGGATGACCCACCAGATGGAGCTGGCCATGCCGAAGAAGTAGACGAGCAGGAAGACCACGGTGCACAGCGCCGGGCCGGTGCTCTCGTACCGCACGTGCTCGGCCACCGCCAGCTCG